ACGAAGCGATTTGATTAAATCAAACCAGTAGCAGGGCCAACAGACACGATTGACTGACTCATGATTGCCCCAGTAAGGTAGGCAATACAAGTCAAGTCTAAGTCGATCTTAGAAAACCCTGGAACATGAAACTCAGCAAGTACCTAGGTTGCACTAACATACACTTAGCTACCATGGAGCAGTGAGATGTCTGCTAACAACCATAAGTCTAATTCGACAACTAATACATCCAAAAAACTATTAGAACACTGAATAACTTGTAACGCCATCGCCTAGTTTTCAGTGGAATGTGTAAGAAGAATCAGAACATTAGCTTCGCGTTTGCTGACGCCGAAAGTATTGACTGGCCTAGTAGATGGTCAAATGAGTTCATTGAAGGGTTAAAACTAGTTTGTGAATCGCAATATGTGTTCTGAAATATCAAGTACGGTGTCCATAAAGTTGTCGTGCTTCTTCTTCTGAAAACGATGATGAATCTCTTGTCACAGCTTCAAAGGCCTGTAATAAATTAGATCATATGATTAACAAACTAAACCTATGAAAACAAACTCCATCGTATGAACTTGTACTCGTCAGGTCATAGTGGGCCACCTGATAATCATAATAGCGTACCAAGTACTCCGGACAGCCTTTATAAAAGCATCTACAATCATACTCCTGATGTCTCGTACAAAAAACAACTCAGGACAAGTCACATTCGGCGATACCTAGTACCTAACCCCGGACAACTTGACTACAGCTTTAACGGTGAATAGTTTTGGGTGAAGACTCAGCACCGGCTAGTTATACGCTCTGATGCAGAAATACATTTTGCCGTCATCTATATATCTGGCCTATAGCTCTAAATCAACTGTTTATTGTTATTAGTAACCCCTTATGTATTAATTCAGCCAGTCATTTCCATTTTTCTGCTGTTTTCATGTACTTGTCTGTTTGCTTAGATAACGAGCTTATTGACATAATTATTCACCTTATCAACTGCGTTTCCACTCATCCCTGTACCGGACCCGTACGATAACGTGATCAAAATATGATAAATGCAAAGCAAATAATATTATATGAAGCAAACGTTCATGCACGAAAACTTAAATGGCAGTATGAAAAAGGGAAAAATGTTTAAAAATAACACTTAAAACCAAGTTATATATTTTTCATTAAAAAGTAATAACAACAGTTGTGTAACAAATGCAGCTCAGACGTTCCTTTTAGTGTAATCATCACAGGTGAAATTCACTAAGTTGCTAGATATCTTCTCTTCCGTTTATCTCTGAGGGGGTGAATCGAAGCATCAATCCAGCGGCGGTTTCGGAGTAATTCAGGCGCATTATGTAAAGTGGCCTAAACGGATGTTACGTCACTAGTATTCCCGTAAATCGACATCTGCAGACAACACACACACAAAAGAAACGCCGTGGGTAGTGTTAATGGGAACCACAGAAGTACTGAAATCATTACTGCATTACGTGTGAAGTGAAGTTACAGATGTTACAGACAAAAGGTAGTTGGATGTTGAAGCAGCGAACCTTCAAGCTACCGACCAGTGGCTTTTCTCTCTATACCTTCAAAAATTGTGGAATCCCTGATATGCTACGGTATACACGACTATTTATTGTCCTTAAACTTCTTTTCACCCCAACAGCATGGTTTCAAGAAGGGTCATTCTTGTATAGCCAGCCTGCTAACTGCCACGGGCAGATGGACAGCCACCCTTGATTGCAAGGGGAAGTTGACGTCGTTAACCTTAAATCCTCTAAAGCTTCAGATGGGGTCAAACGATTGGGTATCAAATCACCTCTAATTGGTTGGCTCACTTCATATCTAAGGAATCGATATTTTAAGGTCAGGGTTAACTTCACTTTCTCTCAGGCTATGGAATTTTCCGGTGGTCCTCCAGGCTTCAGTACTGGGAACTCTACTTTTCTTGGTTTATATAAACGATCTTCCGCAAAAGATATCGTCCGAGTTATTACTTTTTGCTGATGATGTGAAACTCTGTAGAGAGTGATGCACAACCAAGAGGACATACTGGCACTTCAGGAGGATCTGACTTGACTTAAAAGTCGGGCAGATGACAACGGACTTACCTTAACACTTCAGTGTGTAAAGTAGTCCATCTGAGACATGTTGCAGACTTAAGTTACAGCTTATGCAGCTCCTCTCTAGAAGTACTTTGAGTCGAAAATTATTTAGGAGTGTTGGTACCCTACGGTTTGAAGTCTTACGCTAACTGTGACCGAAATGCCTTTCGAGCAAACCTTGCACTGGTAACATTGAAGCGCATTTCGGGCTAGTTTGACGGAAGAACTTTCCTCACGATCTTCAACATTTTCATTCGTCTCCATTTAAGTACAGAAACATAGTATTTCCTCCCTCGCTCCAAAGGATAAGGACTCTCTGGAGCGTATCCAACGGCGAGCTACGAAACCAGTTCAGGGACTCAAATCCAAGCCTTATGAAGAGCACCTCCAATGACTAAACCCTTACCCATTAGAATACGGGCGTCTCAGAGTTGGCGTTCTAATTGCTTACAGTATCCTTAACACTTCTTGACATCCCCTTAAACACCTAGTTCAGTTTACCTCCAACACAAACCTAAGGGGTAACACTTAGAAAGTGGAGACACAACATAGCAGAGTGGACTGTAGACTCAACTTCTACTCCTTAAGAGTTTTCAAATGCTGGAATTCGTTTCCGACCGAGCTAGTTCAAGCAGCTTCTCAGGAGTCCTGTAAAAGGAAACTTGACCTATTCTTAAGGACTAAGGATAATATCTTACTATGATTTACCAATTTCTTTTTTCGTTCATTATCGTTAATATACCTAGGTTCCTGCCTGGAGGTATTGGTGACCCACTGCTACTAGACACGGAAGCCCGTTAAGTGAAAGCTTCTTCTGTTCCGTCCAGAACCATCTCAACCATTTGATACACAAATGTGACCACAAATAGGTGACCAAAGAGGAGACATTGTATTTACCGTTGTCAATTAAATTGCATATCACGTTGCCAATTGCAGTGTTATCTCACTACATTCTGTATTATAACCAATCAGTCGATTGTCCTGTAACGTGATAGCTGCTAGTTCCAGCAGCCTTGAGGTCCCCAAAAAAGAAGTCGTTTATATTAACGATATATCCATTTCCGAATAGTTGTAACTGTGTTGTTAGGTTATTCACGTAGGATGACAAAAAGACCTGTGTTTGAACCTCAGCTTCAAGAAGCTAACGAAAACAAAACTATTTAGTTTAAACTAACTCGTGGCGAAGATATGTAATTGCTATTGAATATCAACCTTGGTGTAGAATTCGGAAACATTGTAAATATGTAAATGTGCTGGAAGAAAAGGGAACAAGCCCTGTTGAACTAGACATGCAAAATGATGTATGGGACTAATTTGTTAATAAGCTTTCCCTTTTTCCAAATAAAAGCGTTTGTTATTTTAGAAATATATACGTTGTTTCTCGCACGTTGTGTTCTTCCTCACATTCACTGACTCTGGTTTGTATGCTGTTGGTGTAGGAACTTCCTGTCTTGAAATAAACGGCGATAAAACTTTTTACAATTTTGCTATTTTTTTTCTCTTTCAGTTTGTATCACATATTGCTACTCACACTTCCCCAGAACAAAATCAACCTTCAGGTTAGCGCAAACCTACCAAAGGCTAAACATTACAAGTGCATCGAACGTTCTGACTGATCTGTCAGCCTTTTTTTGTGTTCCCTTCCTCGAATATCTTAATTCTAAAGGCAATCTCGGCCATCTAATCGAATTGAAGGATACAATAAGTAATGTCTAGACGTTTACTCCTTTCTCCAAATTACCTTCATTCTGTTCAAGATGTCTTCAGACGATACGTTTAAAAACAGAAGTCAAAACATTCTCCCATATGTGGATGGGGTTTTTATTGAGCCAGGAGTGAAAGAGAGCATAGACAAAATACAAGTTGGTTCACTGGATCTCTCTGTATTCAGCTGCCAGTCGATGAACCCAAAAGTTATCAAGCTTACAGAGAGTTTTGAGTGTGATTCAAAGTCTTTGGAAAGTTTCCTGAAAAGACTTGTAAGTTCTCTTCAAGTTAACATGACTCTGTTGCTTGAATCCATCTCTGCTTCACTTGAATTCGAGTCCAGTGACTTCTTTAGTGAAGTAATTCGAGAAGTTATTAAGAAAATGCAAGAGTTTACTCAGTTCCCTTCTACGGATGAAGACTACTTTTATTACCCCGAACACGTAATTGAAAAAGACGATTGTGATTTTATCTTTCATTTCACATTCATTCTTCGTTATTTATGCTGTCCTGCATATCGCGGAAAATTTCATGGTTTAGTTGTTACGTGCAAGTCGTTACGGCTAATGGTTCCATTGACTATATTAACTCGTATTATTCATGAATCTGTTCCTCCAAACAAATTATTTAGTTTCCTACCTATCTTTTGCAAAAGCACAGAAAGTCACTGTAATGGTCGGAGCATAGCAATGATTTACCAATCATCTGACATAGACTCAGCTGCTAGGTACTGTGTATCATCATTAAAAAATGCTCTGGGTACTGGAATAGGCCATTCACCCGTCATCTTAGTCGAGGAATCCATATACAAACGTTTTATGGTCGTATGGAAAGCCTTATTAATCTAAACACATCTGCAGAAGAATTGGAAAGTTACGAAAAGTCAGAATATCCACCATTCTGTACTGATTATGTTCATGAAGTAATATCTTATGCAGACTCTGTCGGTGCGAAAATTCTTCGTTATAATCAGAAAATACCACATTCTCCAATAATTGTTTATGACATACTCCATCATCTGTCAAAGTTAATAGAAGGAGCGGTCCAGTCGCATTTGTTCTGTGCTTCCGTACTGTTAAAGAAAGTGTGTCTTTACTAACATATTTTATCGATCATCTCAACAATCATAAACGTAATAGAGTTAATCCGACGAGCTATGAATGTGCGATCAATATATGGCAAACAGATTCAAATATCATATGGCAACTTTTCCAGATGTTATTACTGTCAGGTGTGGACAATGTTTTTGTAAATGCTTCTAGTCGCCAACTGGCTGCGACAATGTACACAAGACTTTTTGAAGTAAATGGATCATCATGTTTTCCGAGTGAGGTGTCAAAAACGAATAACAATGGAACACTATATAAGACATTAAGTACAGTCATCTCTACTGCTCGTGCTGCTCAAGTCAGTTCAATGGCCAAAGGTTATGAATTAATCCAAAGTGAGGTGTCTAAAGATGAAACGTTAGCTGGTGTTCTACCTAAAGAAGATGTATTCAAATACTTCATGCGTTACACTAGCAAGTTTTTGGGAGGTCCAGGGAAACTTTTCCTTACTGGAAAAACGACAAGATACACTCCTTATTCCAGTCGCTCATCTTTGCATAAAACCAACTGGGCCAATCGTGCTCGTAATAGACTGTAAGCTACTGTCTGAACCTAAAAATTGTACTTTCGTTTTGAAACTAGTATTTTTTATTTTATTCGCAGGTAATGCTGTTGTGTTACTTCTGACAAATAATGACTTAATAGGTGAAAAAAACAACTTTTTAGATAACGTCAAAACAATTCAAAAGCGGTTAAGTGTTACTTCTTTGATATCCGTTCATGTATGTACTTGTCCTATGACAGAACTCAATAGTATCTTATCTAATTTGTGTGAACCTTTAACAGTTTTAAATATGGATTGTGTTGATGTTTTTACTAAAGACCTACCTAATCATATTTCTAATCTATTATGTTTATCTAAGCCTGTAACATTGTATTGGTCCACAGGTTGTAATGTTTTTTCTTAATTTATATACACTAATATATTTGTTATTATGAAGTATTTCTTAAAACGCATTATTTTGCATTAGTAATATATTGGCTTGTGCAAATCGAGTTTGAGGGAACTTTTATTATAAAAAGATCATAGTGGAATCAATCTATGGAGTGACTGTTTTTGTGTTTAAGCCACATAAAAAGATATAAACTTTGTAGTTGGAGCATACACAACGATCATACTTAGTAGTTGACAACATGGCTTGATGCTAAACATAGTGACGCAGCTGGATTCATATAATTTCCTAACATTGTATTACTCCATTCGTTAGATTCCGTCAGGAATGGAACTAAACTTATGGTTCAGTAGACCATTTATTTTTGTTGATCGTGACAATTTCGTGCTTACAATTAGTAGATTAGTTTTCCACTGTTATAAGTTGACCAGATTATAGACTACTCAAGTCAAGAGAAGTTTAAACAGTGAACGAAATGAATATAAATAAAGTGTATCGAGATAATCTGTTTAACTACGTACCTAGCTTTGGTGTAAAATGGGTCTTAGTCTGGCATATCTTTAAAGTCATTCTTATATCGAGTTGTAAATATCTTTCTGGGAGTTTATGAAATAAAAGAATTATTCTATGGCTAATGAAGGGGAAGTTCGATTATATATATTGTCACAACTAATTAATGGTATCTGTAAACCTGAAGGCAGTTTTCATTTTCATTTGCCAATAATCAATCTGGGGTCATGGACCACCCTCTGTTTCCATTTGTGCTTTTTTTTAGTTTTCTGCCTTAGTTCCCCATTCCTGTCAGCACCATCGTTTTTACTAAATTCATTGTCTCTTTGATTCATTTTTAGTGGTTTATTATGAAATATGACTACTTAGGTGAATATTTATTCATGCCAGGTTCTATATTGTTTGCGAATTACTTAAACTTGTAGTTTTTACTTGATTGTTTCCAGATTTCTATTATTTCACTTTGTCATGCTAATGGAAATGTTCCTGTACCAACCATTTATTCTATCAAAAATAGGATGTCACTTTTGTTACCGGATTAAAAATACAGTCAATTAATTGAGATTTTCATAAAATGATTTGTCCAGATTTTACTTCATTAAGTTTGTTCAAGTATCAATTAATCATGTGTTGCATTAATAAAAACATAGTTGTCTAATGTAGATTTTGAGGATTTTACCATGATTCATATATTTTTTCTGAAATCCTGCCACGAAAGAGTTTCCAAAGTTTACTCCGTTTCGTTCCAGTGACATTGACACAGTACTCCTTACCTATTTTATTTAAGCACAAATAAACACCAAAACATATGTGCGTCACACAAATCATTGAATTAGTGTGTGGGTTAGAATACTATCCGGGTGCCCAAACTGAAGCACGAGATTTGCTTAAGAGGTCAGTGATTAAGAATAGGCTCATTCGCTATTTATTCCCTCTGGAGTCTATGTCCACCATTGGTTTAGAGTCAGGGTTTTACAACTCCCCTAGATGGATTCCCCGTACTCACCAACATAGTTTAAGCGCAGGATATTCGCTTTCCGTCCTGTCAATTTCGTAAACAACACCCTTTCCACGAGTAATTTACGGGTAATTCATTTAAAAAGTACGTTTTCGCATTCGGCCATGAGTCACATTAGTTGTATGAGGGTTAGCAATCTTAACTTGTCTGCCCAAACCAAATTAGGTTAGTAGGGGTTTGAAGATGCAACTTATTCGGACAGTATGTGATTTGTGATGGACAATATGGAAATAGACTATTGAATGTAAATGAAATGTCAGTGTATACTTAGTTATATATGTTTCTTTTTATAGATAACGATTATTGTGAATGTATATGAGATACTTAGCTCAGTGTATTGAGTTCAAAAGTAAACTAATGATTAGCGATAATGAATCAGGAAAATATAAATGGTACTCAATAAACTCACCATTAAGATAAAAATACAATAATGAAGTCTATGTTATCCCAGTCTGTATTATCATTTGACTGTAAGACCTAATCAATAAAATTAGATATAAGTTAACTACAAATATTGAATCGTAAGTATGTTTATAGGAAAGTGCACCATTCTGTCATTGTGTAATGGTTTATAATTTGATGAATAATGTACTAGCTGAGAATTGCTAAAATGAATGAATAGTTTATTGATTGGTAAGTGAACACAAATAATACAATATGGGCGAGTGGTGACAGCTTATGATCCCAAATTATTAACTCAAACTTCTTAATGAGTTAATATTTTATTACTTAGGAGGCCACAACCGGAGCCTTCAACCTGAAGGTCTAATCCACAAGTCAGTAGAGAAAAGTAAGGAGATGCAGTTCCATGGAAGCCAGTGACCAAAAAATAGGTTCATACGCCATTTGTCCCTTCAGGATCCTGGAGCTCTTGTGCAACGTTGGTTCGAAATGATGGTTTTACAACTCCTCTAGGTGGAATATTCTCTTTCTGTCCTCTCAATTTCGTAGACAACGCTCACTTAGAGAGAAGGCAGTGAGTATTACTTCCCTGTCAGTGGCTATATACGTGTGGTCACGTGAGGGCATTTGGAGAGGAAGATTTTATCTTTTCAATAAAACTACCGTATACTTGCAACAGATTTCCTTGGAATATATAGAAATTACATTACTTGAGAGTCATTTATTCAGGTAAATCTAGACATATACATTTATACTTGTTCAGTCTAGTTACCATTCAGGAATTCTCGAAACTTATTTTTGTGTTTATCAGTAGCGGTGCTCTACCTTTAAAAAATCCATTGGAAATATCTATCGTGAACTGCCATCAAGGTTAGCTAATGAAAAATCTTTTACACGCATGAGGTGCAATCAAAACAAAGAAGTAAACAATGACAAGTTTAAGGTCAATAAGAACTAATCAACATCGAGTTCTACAGGACAAGCTATGAATCGTATGCAGAGAGATTTGAACACTTCACCTCAATCTGAAGTTTGTGCTGTTGCTGATGATGATGTTGTTTAGAAGAATTGATGAAAGCTCTACGATTAAATCATCCAGTTCATAAAACAAAATTCTATCAAAATTACAAGTATTGAATTTTCTTTAATCAAAAAGTGTTTCAAGATTCGCGTTTTAATAGTTCTATCTAATAATTCGCTTAATAAAAGCTTGGAGATTAGTGGAGGTAAGAAACTTGGAAATTTGAATCACACTGACCACTTTCTTTGGTTACTATTGTTATTCCCAAAAGTAATATGTAATAAAATCAATTATTGTATTCCCCTTATTGTAAGCTTCCACAGAACCTATCAATTGTCATTATACGTTATCTCCAATGGATTATGCTCGATTTGCTTCATTTCTCTGTTACTCATGGTTTGATTGCCTTTAAAGGATGACATGGTCGATAGCATTCGATCTGCACTAAATAAGGAATTGACACACCTTACGTTGATCACTACCCAGTGATCAATCAATTGTGATTACATCTCCGTCCTACACACAGTAGCGGCCCGGATAGCTTAGTGGTAACGTCTCTGACTGTTAAGCTGGGTGACACGGGGTCGAATCCGCCAGGAAGCACCAGTTCCCTCAAGATTACAGGTAAACCTTACTGACGAGTGCCAAGTAGCACAAAACCCGGGTCCAGGGTTTCCTGTCGACTACCTCCAACCGCCAGATGACTTCTTATTTGATGTAATGTGGTCAGTTATTTCAAGTGCATTACTGTTTATGTTTTGAATCTCCAATTGAATTAAACATAACAGAGACCTGATCGAATTCGGTGTGACCATAATTTATGAATGAATCAATCAGATTTTAACAAGTGAATCTTGGATGTTGGGATAAGAGAATTCATTCATCCATTTGGCTAAATAGCATTTTGGCGTTATAGTTCATATCAGTTCGTGATGAAATCTTTAATTCTAATTTCTAACCCTAACATCCAACTGTAAATCCTACTTCTGATTAGTTATTGATTTGTATTATTATTTGTTTTATTTTAACTCATAGATATTGGTACAAGGAGGCACCAAATACACATACGCCACACAAATCTCATTTGATATGTGTGAGGACTGTTGTACTGCCCGGGTGCCCAAACCGAAACAGGTGGTTTACTTAGGGGGACACACCTGGAGCCTTCGATCTGAAGGTCTGACCCACAAGTCAGTGGAGCATCGTAAGAAGATGCATTCCCATGGTAGCCGGTGACTAACGATTGGTTCATACTCCGTTTGTTCCCTCAGGATACTGGAGCCCATGTGCACCATTGGTTTGGAATCAGGGTTTTCCTACTCTTTTCCCTTTTTTTAACACTAATAAGTAAGTGAACATCCTCAAAGTCGATTGAGGTCGTCCATTAGTCATAGTCTTACCATCTGCTTCCTATCTTTGTGTTCTAATTGCCTATTGTATTAGAAAAGGACTCAAGGACAAGTAAACATTTAAAGATTGACTGTTGTTCACTGGTCAGTGTATCAATTAAGATCTCAGTTTTCTAATTAATTGATCATTATTTTAACCACTATCTTTACCAAATATAATAACATAATTCTGACCGGCTCTTACTCACTACTCTATTATGGAAAAAATCTATGATGGAAACTATAAAGTATGGAGTTATAGAGATTGTTGAATGTATTAGGTTAACTTTTGATCGGTTCATAATTTCAATGAAATAATATAAAGTATTCAGTATTTAAGTTAATAGGTGATTCTATAAAAAGAATATGATTCACATATATAAACATTTGAAGTTTATTGCTTAACATAGGTCTATATCCTAAGTTATAAATTATGTCAGAGTTAATAAATGTTAGAAAAGTAGTCTCCGGCAAGATGATAATTTATGAACGAACCAATCAGATATAAGAGATAACAGATCTTGAATTTTAACGTGAAATTCATGCATCCATTTAGATGAATAGACTTTTGGCATTAAAGCTGATGTCAGTTCATGATGGAAACCCCTAAATGTAATTCCTAGCCCCCTAACCATCAATTGTAAATCATAATTTTTGTTCATCCCCCTAGTTTATA